CTTTTCAGCATTACCAGTAAGTTTACTCAGAGTAGGAATGATTTGAATACTGATTTTTACTTTCTCACACATGGCATGGGGAAGAGGTAGCGCGGTGGCCTAAGCATGAGCTAGCTCCCAGGAGCAGCCATCAGGCTGCTGCGGTGGCACTACTTGTTAGCCTCATCTGCACGGTTGGAAAATAACACAGCAGCATCCCGCGGCTCCCCACGGGCGTGCTGTGAACGGAGCAGAGAATTAAAGCCACAGTGGCTCACTAGAATTCATTTGTGATTAATTTGGAATCTGAGACGAACCTTTCCCATCTCTTTTTCCCTCCAGGATAAAGAATACTGTGCCAGGCCTAGACTGGACATCATCCAGCCACTTCCCGAGACTTGTGAAGAGATTTCTTCTGATGCGCTGACAGTCAGAGGCTTTCAGGAAAATGAATGTAGAGATTACCATTTGGGTGAGAAATAGCCAAAAAGTTCATTGTCTTCCTTGTACAAAGACCACCTTCCACCCACCCACCCTCACCCCTCCACTTGACTGACACCAAAGGGAATTTGAATTGAGGTACTGAAAGAATCTTAGCAGCTGCCTGGATGGTGGGAATCTCCTGTGGGAAGTGGGATTGCTGGAGGCCCATGGGTATGGCAGAACTTGCCCAAACTCCCACAGCAAATGGAAAGGGTAGTAATGAGATCAGGACTGAGACGGGCGGGCTCATATTTCTTGTTTTTACATTCTTGCTACAGTCCTGGCTATTGAGTCTGATATTTAACATGGTTGTCACTTAGCATGGTTTTACAGTTGTCCTGTTAGTCCCAACTCTGGTCTCTAGAAGAGGTGCCCTACACTGGCAGAGCAGCTGTCAAAGGATTCGGAACCAGATCCTGGAGCCTGCAAGAGTGCCTGGCACGTCGTAGGTTCTCCGTGAATATCTGTTAAATAGGTGAATGGATACACTTAGAAGTAGATGCAGAACCATACCGGTGGCAGCTGTCTTTGGGGGTCATCGTATCTTTGTAAAATAAATTGATGGAAGTATAGCAATTAAACTTGTTTAAAATTGTTTCCTCCTCTAAAAACTACCCCCAGCTGGGTCTCTTTAGTGCTCCTGTTGGTTAGGGATATGAAGTATGCCATTGATGTTGCAACCTATAACTCGTTGGAACATGGGAGAGTCTGTTTCGGCCTTGGCAAAAAGCGAACGTGATTCACAACGGGAGGGTTCTGATGTAGGTACTTTGCTCAGAGCAAACTCTTTGCACACTTAGAAACCCTTCAGAACAGGTTTTATAATTGAATTCTGCATGAAACCCTCAAGACTGGCATTGTACAAAACATGCTGCTATGATAGATTATGTCCCCAGGGCGTGGGGCATCTGTCATTTGTGCGTTAGATGACTTTGACCTTGATGGGAAGGAAACATTTATCGCCAACTGTGGGGCGTAATTGTTCTGTAAAAATAGAACAGTGCTCTAAATGGCCATAAATAAAGTTCATATACAGTAGGTGAATTCTAATATGCAGTAATGGAGAATGTGGAATACTGGTTTCCTGTTGAAGTCAATGGGAACACAGAATTTTAACCCCTCCTTATTTTCAAAACATGATTTGACACTCCTTCTCCCTCTCTCTCTTTCTCTTCCTGTTTCCCTTTAATTTTCTTCCTTTTGCCAAATAATTTGAAACTTAAATATTTTTCAAGCACTGAAGCTTATTCTATCATTGTGTACTTTCTTCCACTCCTCTTTTACAACCAAAGCAAGCCTCATTGCCCCCAAGATAGGTGAGCTCGTGCGTGTATGTAGTTGTATAGATTAAATGGGTCCCAAGAAACCCTTGCCGAGGTTCTACTCTTGAGTAACCCAGGTCCCCCGCCCCTTCCTTTCTTCTGCCTACAGAATGCGCCGAAGGAGAGCCGCTCTTCTACATCGTCAGCCCAAGAGATGTTGTCGTGGCCAAGGAACGAGACCAAGATGATCACATAGACTGGCTCCTTGAAAAGAAGAAATATGAAGTAGCTTTGATTTTCTTTTCTTTTTTTTTAAATTCTGTGTTCTTTTTAAAATTATTATAAGTTGGGATTTAGTACATATATCATTCTAAATTTCAGCCACGTCAAGAAGATTGTACAATTGCTACCACATTTGTTTTATAGGCTCCTTGACATCATCTCCCTTTTACCCACCCACCACTGCTGTACCCCACCCCCAAACCCTTTATTCTACTAGCTGTCTCTGCAGGTTCATCAATCCTGGGTTTACATAGGAACTAAGCCTCTGGAGAACTCCCTGTATCTAAATTGAGGGATGGGAGGAAAGTGATCACTAGACAGCTTGGGAGAGAGGAATATAGAAGATCAAAGGCAGAAATCTGACCTGAACACAGTTAAACCTTTGTCAAGAGAGCCACCCTGAATGCAGGCTGGCCCTGATCTGGTGTCCAATTTTTTTGTATTTTTGGTTTTTGTTTGCTCATCTTAGAGAGTTTCTCCAAGGTGTTATGTCAATGGAGGTCACCCTCTTAACGCTGTGTTATATGCTTGTCCGTTTTTCAGTATCTGATTTTACTTTCTTAAGAGACCAGCCGAGAGGATAGACAGTCTTTGTTGTGTGTCTTTCATGTAGTTGAATTAGGTTGCCCCAGTCCATAGGTGTGAAGTTGGTTAACAACTTTCCAAATAACCTTTCTCAGAAATGATGAGTGGGAAAAACAGATTAAAATGACGTTAACCAGCTTTAGAACCAGTCTTGAAAATGTTATTTTGTGAAATTTCCAGGAAAATAACACATAGCTAATATTTCAGAGATAACTATTTAGATACATTGGTTCCATTATGTAGTTTATGCTTATGGCAGATGTGAAAGTAAAGCCATCAAATTAATAATCACTTATGATTTTGGTGGCGCTGTGGGTTAGGCATTGGGGTGCTAACCACAAAGTCAGCAACTCAGACCTGCCACCCCAAGGCCGTCTGCCAACCCTGAGAGACAGACGTACAATCTCCAGAACGCTGTACAGAGTTACTATGCGTCAGAGGGCTCATTGATCTAGTTTTAGGGTGGTTCAAACTACCGGGTCAAATAGGAGGATGTTGTCCACTTCTCTGTATCTTAGGTTCAGACTAATCTGAGTAGAAAATGCCCCATTGTGACGTCTATGTCTTTAAAAAAAATTCTTTAAAAAATTTTAATAGCTGCAAAAGGATTATTACATTGGTTTAGTTAGAGGAACTCTATGGATTGGCTTATGTACGAGTCAGCTGAGAGCAACAAAAACGTCCACCTGTATATTGTTTTTAAATGGCACAGAGGTAAGCATTTGCTGACTAGATGAAAGATTAGCAGTTCAAACCCACAGAGAAGTGCCCGAGGAGACTGGCCTGGCCTTCTGCTTCGAAAAGGTCGCCGCCCGGAGAACCCGCAGCGTGGCACCAGGCTCACCACGAGGCAGACCTGACTGGAAGGCAAAATGCTGTACTGCTTTACGTTTTTAACCAACTGAAATGTCGTGAGGAAACTAAGCAAAGGACTGGGACAAGCTTCTTAAAACTCAGAAATTATTTAGACTCTACCTATAAATACCCCATTTATGAACCATTTAAGACCATATTGCTTTGTATGGATAATTTTTTTTCTTTCTCCATCTTTTTTAGGACATTTTTCAAAAGTTTTTTTTTGTTTATTTTAATATTTGGGGGTAAATGCTAATGATAAACTTTCCACAAAATAAAACAAAATGAGAGACTTAGAAAATAAGCTAGTACCTATAGGATACATAAACATATGCATATTGCTTACTTTTTATCGAAACAAAGAAGTGTCCCATTGTCAGTATGTGTCACAAAGATTCGGACTGATGGATAAATTCTTTTGTGTGGAGACTAGAGGATTGTGTGGTATTTTGTTGTGTCTGAAATGTGACTCCAATGTCCTAAGGTGGAAATGAATTCAAATGGAAACAAGAGAAGTCTTCATTTTGGTTGACTGCCTTTGTTTGAGTTTGAATTCAGCGGTTCATTCAACCATAGCATTAAAAATGTCAGTGCTTCAAGCAAAAGCCACAGAAAATGAGGCTTTATTTATGTTCCCTAGAACTTTAAAACATAATAAATATGGAGTACATAAGTTCATTGTCTCTCTCTTTAACTATCTATTTCTTTCCTTTAATTTATATAAATACAGGAAGCTCTGATGGCAGCTGAAATCAGCCAAAGAACTATCAAAAGACATAAGATTCTGGTAGGTATATAGTTTTATTATTGGAGATGTAGTCTTCCCCCCACTTTCAGCTAGTTATAATGAGACTGACAGTAATCTGAAGAGAACAGTGCTTCCTCTCTATAGAAAATTTGTTTCAAACTAATTCTCTAACCTGTGAGGTCAAAATACTTCACTTTATTGAATCAGACTCTGCTTGTAAACAAGAGGTGTTAACACCTGCTAGGAGGTAGTTTTCAATAATTTGAAAACTGCATTTGTGAAATAGAGCAGTGAGGGCACATTGGATGAAATACACCGTAAATACAAAGTTTTCTCCTTATGCATGTGGAAGTTTCTTTAAATCCCAGGTAAAATTACATTATCACAAAACTTATCAAAAGAGTGTTTTGGTAAAACTAGATTTCTTCGATATCTCCATAATAACTGACTCAATTGATTTTGTTATAGAGGCTGGTCTAGGACATCAAATACATTTTTATTACATTTGAACTCCTGAAAATCATAGTGACTGAAGAGCTCATAGCCTTGCTCACTGTGACAGTGAGTGTGCGGAGGGAGGGCAGAAATGGAATCTGATGCCTTGAGGGTGAAGGCTCCTTAGAGATTGTCTACCCAGTTCCCTGGTTTTACAGATGGAAACTTAGTCTTTCAGGGTAATGTAGGCTGTAGCAGAAATGCCTTTTGCCGACCCTTACCCCAAGGAGCGCTGGTGGTGCACTGGGTAAGCCCTGCACCGCTAATCACACCCCCGTATCTCTCTGCAGGAGAGAGCCATGGCAGTCTGCTCCTGTAAAGATATCCAGCCTTGGAAACCCTGTGGGGCAGCGCTTCTCTGCTCTACAGAATTGCTTGTGGTTGCAATCAATTTTCAACGGCAATGATTTTGTTTTGCTTTGTTTTGCCTTTACACATATTCCACCTTTATTTCTCTATAACACTCTCACAAAACGCTGTATTTCTCACAGAGAGTACAAGCAAAATCATTCAGGGGCCAAAAGAGGAGAAAGAACCAGACTGTCTTTTCTTCAGCTAGAAGTGAGGAGAAGTCAGATTATCTGGAAATGAGGCAGAAAGCATTCCAGCCAGGAGACAAGCATATGGGAAGATGCAGAGATTGAAATCCATTGGCCCGCTTGGATACTTGGGCAGTGGAGGGTTTATCCCAAGGAAAGAAGAGCCAGATTCTGAAAGTCTGGCCATGTATCAATAGGAGTTGGCTTCATCTGGGACGCTCTAGAGGACAATTTAAGCTTTTAGTGCTGTTACAGATTTGTTTCCAGAAGATCTTCTAGTCGTGATAGAGGGCCTAAGAAGGCCAGCTGAACCTCAACAATGAAACGATTCAATTCCAGAAGCAGCAGAGGACTTGAACAGACGATAGTCAGAGAAGACAGTCAAGTGACCAGCACTTAGGTGAAGAAATGCTTTTGGCCATTAGCCAGTAAAACCAAAAGTAAGCGCCCTGCCATTGAGTCTATTCCAACTCCTAGCCACCCGGTAGGGTAGAGTAGAATTGCTCCATCTGGTTTCTGAGCCTGAATATCTTCATAGGGAAAAGGTGCCTCATCTTTTTCCCTTGGCGCAAGATCAAACCACCTTCGTTTCAGTTAGCACCAACCTTACACTTTGCCCACTGGGCCACCAGGGCCCTTCATTAGCCATCCAAACAAGTTCACTGCCATCGAGTTGATTCTGACTTATAGCAACCCTCCAGGACAGACTAGAACTATCCCTGTGGGTTTGTGAGACTATAACTCTTTACAGGAGTAGAAAGTATCATTTTCCTTCTACGAGTGTCTAGTGGTTTCAAACTGCTGCCCTTGGGGTTAGCAGTCCAATGTATAACCCACTATACCACTAGGACTCTCGTCATTAGTGAGATGCAAATCAAGACAACAGCAAGATACCTCACGCTAGCATTAGTAGAAAAGTTCAGCAAAACAGAAAACAACACATGATAGCCAGGCTGTAGTGAGATTGGAACTCCCGTAGTCTGTTGGTTGACCTAGAAAACAGTAGGATACATCTGTAACAAGTTAGAACTAGAAATACTGTGCTATCCAGCAATCCCACTCATGGGTGTATGTCCTAGAGAATCAATAGCCATGGCACAAATGTCTATACACAGTTATCTTCATTGTCTTTTTTTTCCTATCGCAGTGTTATTTCATAGTGGCCCTGGATTCCCACCACCAATCATGTCATTTGAGAGGGAATTTTTACACAAACCTTTTTGTACATAAAATGTTTTGTTATATGTGTGAACATAAAGAGTTTAAGCTTCTCATGAAAATAATATTGGACAGAAATAATAGACTCGTGGGGAACCAAGAGCAAAGAGTGGTCCTCCCATACCTCTGATGACCCTCATCACCTCACCTCTTAGAACCAAAGGGGATCAAGTAATAAAATAAGTGTTGAAGCCAATAATGTCACGAGCATGAGCACCAGTTTCTTCATCTGTAAACTCAAGTGTTTAGATTACATTTTTTCTGAGCTATTTTCATATCAATACTTCTTTTGATATTTACGATTTTACGAGTCTTCCATTTAGTTTTCCTTACAGCATTTCTTCAGATTTGGGACAAAGGAGATAAGTAGCTCAAATATTACCATTGTCAAAAGAATCTCAGCGGGAGGGAGATTAGAAGTCTTTAAAGTATCATTAATTTAAAAAAAATAGTATTCTAAAAGTTATGGAAGCGTAAACACACATATTTAAATGTGCATATGCTTAAGAAATGCCCATGAAAGTTGGACATTGAATGAGGCAAACCAAAGAAGAATGCATGCATTTGAATTGGGGGTTGTCCAAGACTATAGAAAGTCCCGTGGACTGCCGAGAGAACAAACAAATCCGCCTTAGAGGAAGCACGGCTAGAGTGCTCCTGAGAGACAAGGATGGCAAGACTTTCTCTCCCAGACTTTGGACGTGTTGTCAGGAGAGACCATTCCTTGGAGGAGGACATCATGTGTGGTAGAGTAGAGGGGCAGCGAAAAAGAGGAAGGCCCTCGACAAGCTGGATCGACACAGTGGCTATAGCAATGGGCTCCCACACAGGAACAATTGTGCGGGATGGGCAGTGCTTCGTTCTTCTGTGCAGAGGTTGCCATGAGTAGGAACTGGCTCCCCAGCACCTAGCAACAACATGCTTAAGAAAAAGGCAAGTGTAATTAAGCAACGCAGACAGTGACTGACGACTGTGCCCTGCTCAGAAGCCAAGACTAAGCAATTTCGCAGTTATAGTCGAATTATGAAGTTTCCTTATTTTGTTCCCCTTAGGATATTGGCTTGGCGTATATAAATCACCTGGTGGAAAAAGGAGAGTATGACATGGCAGCACGGTAATAATGACACTTTCTCAATTGTTTGTTAATATAAAGAGACTTAACCTATGTTGACCATACAAAATAGGCCACTATCGACCGTTGAGATACTTTATTTCATTGTCTCTTCCTAACATGGTTAGCTTTTGACTAGTAATGGTTTCATCCACAGGCTGGATGACTATATGTTGTTTTCCCCAACTACTATCTCAACTTTACCCAAAAGAAGAATGTTTTCCTTAATAGTTCATCGAAAGGCATCAAGAGCTGTGAAGAGTCTGAAATGTGGCCCTGTTTGTTAGCTAACCAGCTGACCTGGCAACATTTCTTGGATGCTCGCAGAAGACATGAGACTCCTGGCTCGGAGTCAAAGGACTCTCTCAACAATAGGAGTAACTAGTGTATCAACCTTGGCCCCAGTTCCCTAAGCTCCACTTCCTACAAGGCTACCCACAGAGGATCAGGTGGCCATGCACACACAGTGGGTTGTGTTGCAATAGGGTAATTCTGTACTTAGGGCATCTGAATCTTTTATAATAGATGGTAAGCCCACCTAACGTTTGCTCTGTAATAGACATTATCTTTATTATACATTGGACAGTAAAAAAGCCCACCCTTAGTTCTGAAGGGAGACATTACCATCGACTTTCCAAGCATCCTCGAGAAAATAGTCTGGAGTCAAGGCAGTCCGTGCTTTTCTGTAGAAAACGAGCAGCCCAAGCTCATTAAAGGCGGACATTAAACAGAGGGGACCAGACCGCAGACTCTCGGTTTGCAGGGGTCTGTGGTAGGGTCGCTGTGAGGCGGCATCAACGCTATGGCAGTGAGTTCGGTTTGGTCACCGGCAGGTCACAGGAAGGTTTGTGTGGATGGCTCCTGCTGGGACTGTACATGCTTCATGACAACTTTCCAGCCCTAGGAGACGGCCTGCGAGGCTGGCCTTACACAAAACCTTGAGATGTAAGACAGTGTGTTTGCTTCATAGTTAAAAGACCATGCATTTGAATTCACAAGTGAACAACCGCTCCCATGGATTATAGATAAAGGATTCTAATTTTCCAAAGTCTTTTTGTCTGTTTTCCTAAGCGTCTTAAGAAGTGGTTTATCCTGGCATAGCTGGTGTGTGATGAGAGTCATTTAAAGTAGAAAAGCCCCCCAATCCATCAGTGTACAACAAAGCAAAGAGCAAACTGAGAAGAGGGAAATCCATGGGAAACCCCACTGTAGTCCCCTGACAGGGGTGTTCCTTTACTTGGAAGTCTTCTGTATTCATTTTCATGATTTCGGTCAAGTGAGTAACAAGAAAACCTAGATGCGTTGACAACTGAGTTAAGAGACTTGTCAAAAGTCTAAAGTGGGAGATCTTTCAAATAATCAGGGCAAACATTCATTTATTCTGATTATTTTAACTTTTTAATAATTCCTTTCTGGGATATCTCACCACCAGCAAATGCTTGAGAATTCTTGGGAAAAATGCAGCACTCTGGGAATATGAAGTGTATAAGTTTAAAGAAATCAGACAGCTTAAGGTAAGCAGTTTCATTTTAAATTTCTTCATTTTGCCTGTACTATAATAGTATAGAGATGGAAATAAAGTTGAAAGACTGTTCTCTATTAGGAAGCAAATATTATAAATGCTGGAAACAAAATCAAACTTTTAATCCTTAGTTTCAAATTTTCAACCTAGTTTCTATCTTATATGCACAAAACATATAATAACATGTAGCATTAAGACATTAATATAGTTATGTATTGTATAAACTATGTAAAAAATATATAGTACTTATTGCCTTAGCTTCTTCTAATGCTTTCTGTGTTCAGATGAAGTTTCCAAGTTATTTTTTTTTTTTAAGATACAAATAGGCATTTATTTAACTCAGACTTTGTCGCTCATTTGCAGGATCCAGTACTTGAGGGATCCAGTACTTGAGGGATCCAGTACTTGAGGGATCCAGTACTCTATGGGCCACTCACATTTTCCTTCTAAGCATAATCATACAAAAATTTTCCCATGGCTGAGATTACATAATATGCCAGCAAAGGGGTACTCTTGTTGATAAAATATTCACTAATTGGTGAACGTTATTTTAAATGAAGGGATACTCTTATTCCAGTAAGCTATCAAATATAAGGGCTTTTTGGTTTTGTTTTAATTTACCAAGGAGGAAGTGTATTTTACCTGCCCAAGACAAACGGGAAAATGAAACCACAGATCTTAAGCACTGAACGTAGTGGAGGGCATCCACACCTGCCATCCAGGATAGGGTTCCTAGGGGGGCTTCTTCTGTGTCTGCTTTTCATTTATGTATTCTTAGCCCTTTCCCATGCTCTCCTAGACTTACAAATATACTTTTTAAAGTTCTTAATAACTCAGTACCCGTACATCTCTTTTCTGGGAGGGATCACACAGATGCACACACATACACACACACACATTCACACTTCTCATCATATTTATTGGATTGTTTCTGGCAGAGGGGTACAAATAACGGAAAAGTGGGTGAAAGGCAATGGAGGACAATGTAATATATGGAAATAAGAATCTATAACTTATCAAGGGTTCGTGAGGGAGGGTGGGCAGTGGTTGGAGGGAAGGGGCAGAAATGAGGAACTGATATCAGGGGCTCAAGTAGGAAGGTTGGTCCTTTTAATCAATACCCCATTTCTACCCCCACCCTCCCCTAATCCCCCTGGTATTTCTACTCTCATTGTTGGTCCTCAGGGGTTTATCTATCCTGGATTCCCTGTGTTTCCGGCTCTTATCTGTAGCATTATGCATGCTCTAGTCTTAAGCCAATTTGTAAGGTAGAATTGAGGTCATGATAGTGGGGTGAAGGAAGCACCAAAGAACTAGAGGAAAGTTGTGTGTTTTATCGGTGCTATACTGCACCCTGACTGGGTCATCTCTTCCCTGTGACCCCTCTGTAAAGATTGTCCAGTTGTCTACAGATGGGCTTTGGGTCTCCACTCCGCACTCCCGCTCATTCACATCAATGTAATTTTTTGTTCTGGGTCTTTGATGCTTGATACCTGATCCCATCATCACCTCATGGTCACACAGGCTGGTGTGCTTCTTCCATGTGGACTTTGTTGCTTCTCAGCTAGATGGTTGCTTGTTTATCTTCAAGCCTTCAAGACCCCAGACGCTATATCTTTTGATATCCGGGCATCATCAGCTTTCTTCACCACATTTGATTATGCACCCATTTTGTTTTCAGCGATTGTATTGGGAAGATGAGCATTACAGAATGCCAGATTGTTTGAACAAAGTGTCCTTGTGTTAGGGAGTACTAGAGTCGAGGCCCAATGTCCATCTGTAACCTTAATTCTTAGCACATAGATATGAGTACATAGTTCTATTCCCCTCTCATTATATATGTTTCTGGAACATCTTATCCAGCCCTGGGCCCATATTTACCCTGATGGATGTCTTGATAGTCCCACATATGTGGTGGCATTTTCTTCTCGTATATTTTGCAGATAGCGCTAGTTGATGTTTAATTCACTTCCCTTTCCACGTTTGGTCCTTCTCCCTTCAGTGCGTGTGAAGACGCCACAGGGTACCCATTTCCTCATGTTCATGTCTTTAAGCCTCTCTTCTTGATGGGATATCTTAATCACCTTATCCTGGTTAATCTCTGATTCTTAGCAGTTTTACCTTGCTGATACCAACTGACCTATCCCTCTCTATTGCCACTGCCAGCCTGACTCTTGCCTGAGCTATTGCAAGTACATTCTGATAGATTTATCAGAGGCAACTCCTTACAAGGTTAGCTTTTTTGGGGGGAAAAAAAAATCCATCTGGTACTTTCACTTTCTAATCGTTTGTTGCTTCCTTCTTGCATAGGATGAAATCCAAATTCTTTTCATAACTCCACCCATCCTTTCTCTCCAGCCTCCTCTCTCTTCAGTGAAACCCACGCCAGCACATTTCACCTCTCTAAACCCTCCTGACATCTGAAAACAGTGTGTTCCTGTCTCCGCCCCTTTGCTCATCTTCCCGTCCGGAGATGTTCTTCCCCTTTTCGCTTTGCCCGGGAGAATTAAAGTGTGTGCTGACTCAGCCTGGAAGTTCTCCTCTGCCACCATAGTACTGTGTCTTACACAGTACTGATGCTTACAAAGCTCACCATCATGGTCCGTTTAAACACCTGCCCATCTTCCCCTGCGAGGCTGCGAACTCACTTGAGGATGGGGTTCTTAGCTCTGTGTCTGCAGTGAAATCCATGGTGACTGGTACATAATGAACCACAACGATATTTAGCAATGTTGGGAAAATTGACCATGATCACTACCATGTGAATACAACACAGTACAGGCTTTTCCACTCTCCCAAAGTAGAGTGGTCCTGGGAAGCCTCTCAGATTCCCAATGGCATAAAGGGAAGAAGCTGTCGCCATTGATTTATATGTGAGCCATCTTTTAATGTTCTCAGACCCAAAAGAATATCCACCAAATCTTACCAAAGAACACATAAAACTCGAAGTAATCCTAACATCCTGCATTCACACGCACAGTTCCATGCTGTGGCGGCTTGATCCGGAGGCCCTAAGCACAGACCCCAGGGAGCCAGCGTGGTGATGTCACCTGTCACTTCTCAGGGGCCTGCGCTTGTTTAATGGCTCAGCACAAAAAGTGATCACTGAACATTATTTCCCTTTTGCCTTTTTTTCATAAAAGTGAAAATTCTTTCTGGGTTTCTTTCAGTTAGCAAAAACAGCTACTAATGTAGGTCTCCACAAAAGAGAAGGTGGCGCGCAGCGTGGCCCAGTGGGTCCCGTGCTGGGTTGCAGGATGAAACGTAGACAGTCCTCTGCTCCCAGCAGATAAGGCCGTCTGCTGTCCGAAAGATGTCCAGTCTATGCAGCTGCTCTCTGTTATCTGGGGTCACTTGCCCTGATTTGGAAAGATGATGATGAGCTTTGTAAAAATTTAAATATTCCAGTTTAAGGAAACAAAGGTTAATAGGAGTCCTTTATTCCTTGGTTACCTACGTAAGTAGTTGATTTTCATTTTCTCTTTTTCTACCTCCCTCCTATTATTGAGGCTTTAAAAAAATTCATCAAAAAACAAGGAGATATACCATGGAGTGGGGGAATGCTCTAAGATAGATTGTACAGTTCCCTTGATATGATTGAACGATTGGACTGTTCAATTGTGTGATATGTAGATTATGTGCCAATAAAGCTGTTGAAAAAACAAACAAGGTGATAAAGATTAAGCTAGGCAATTTTTATCCATTCATTCACTTATACATGCATATCTAGCTAATCTTTAACGTGGTATAACACACTGTAGTAAGCTTCCTTTAATCTTTTCCAAAGTAGTCTGTTGCTGTAATCTACAACGTAAGAAAGCACCGGTCTGTCTTGTGACTAATGGGAAGCATGCTTTTCTGTTCTGTTCTTTAAAGGGTTTCCGTTCCCCTTTCCTTCCCCAGGCTATTAGTCCATATTTGCCAAGAGGGGATCCAGTTCTGAAGCCACTCATCTATGAAATGATCTTACACGAATTTTTGGAAAGTGATTATGAGGTATGGTATTCTGTTGTGGAAATATTCACTTGCTGTCAATAGGAAGTGTTTAAAAATGTAGAAAAATAGTAAAGTGGGACAGTTGGTTTAAAGAAAACACATCTGAAGGGTGTATTTCATAAATGTAACTGAGCTCAATAAGCCCTGTTGATAACTGATACTTACATAGATTGTGAAAACCCCAAATCCAGGTACATTTTTTTTTATTTCAAAGAATTCCTTAAATTTACCTTCTTTTGAGAGCTAAAGAAAGAGGGGAAAGTGTGGTTTTGTGAACTTTATACATCAAATGGCAGGTGCTATTGATGCCTCTACCACCCCTAAAGAATTCAGCACAGTCTGAAGCAGGATGTGCATTACTAACCTCAGCAAAGGAGGCTTAGGGAGAATTGGGGGCAGGAGTATGAGAGGAGATTAGGAAGTGAAATGTTTGCTTATTATAGACCAAGGGAAATGCTTATCCACCATTGACATGCATTTTACATGCATATTGTGGAAACTGTGTGGAAAGACACCATAGACAAAAGCGGTACATGCTTAACCACTATAAACTGCATTTTACATGCATATTGTGGAAACCGTGTGGAAAGAACTGGTGAGCCCTCTGAGTTGGGACTGGCGATGGGAGGGTGCAGAAACCAGGAGATGAAACACCTTGGACCCCAGGCCATTGTTCTCTAGTTCTGCCCAACACTTTGAGTGACATAATCCTCAGCTGTTTATGAAGTTCAGGAGCCTGACCCGATGATCACTTTTCACTCCGGATACCTCACTGTGCGCCTGACCCAGGTTTTGGGATTTTCACCTCACGTGCATGTGAAAGTTGAAGGTTGAGTAAGGGAGACCAAAGAAGAGTCAAGGCAGTTGAATTCTGGTGCTGGCAAAGAATGTTGAAAGTACCATGGACTGCCAAAAGAACAAGCAAATCTGTCTTAGAAGAAGTAGAACCTGAATGCTCCCTAGAAGCACAGATAGTGAGACTTTGTCTCACATGCTTTGCACATGTTATTAGGAAAGACCGGTCCTGGAGGGAGAGAATAAAAGGAAGGCCCTCGCCTAGAGGACCTGACATGTACGTATGCAAAGGGATCCTTAGGACGGTGGTCCCTTAGTTCATCCTAGTTTTTGTTCAGTTATTGTCGAAGAGTTATTTATTCATGGACACATGAGATCCACTTATCATGATACATATGTGACCTAATGGTTCTTTTACTTCTATGAGTCTAATGTCCTTGGGACAGGAAAACATTAGGTGCTGTAGCATAAACTGAAATTGAATCAAATATTTATATAATAATTGCATATGTCTTGCCAAAAATGTATGTGAATTTCAGTGCTATTGTGGATGGAGTTGACGCATCTCTTCTAATAGCTTAATAGCTTGTGTTCTGATTTCATATTCCAGCCTCCTCTAACAAGAAGGGATCTGTGTTTTCGAGATCTGTAAATATTTTCTGGTAGTAATTTCTGTGATGTATGGTGGGTTCTTGCTGACATGGGCCAGAGCCATCAGCTACATAAATATATTTTATTTGGAACATACTAACTGAATATTTGCACTCTAGCCATCAGTATGCATATATAGTCAATATAAAGAAAACCACAATCCTCATAACTAAACCAAGAGACAACACCATGATGAATGAAGAAAGGATTGACATGATCAAGGCTTTCATCTCGCTTGACTCCACAATCAATGCTTATGGAAGCTGCGGTCAAGACATCAAACTATACATTGCACTGGGTGAATCTGCACAAGATCTTTTTAGAGTGTTGAAGGGCAAGGATCCCTCTTTTGAGAATAAATTACAGCTAACCCAAGTCATGATGTTG